CATCACTAGCCCTGAAGCTGCTGGTAGACATCGCGGTTGGAATTATCAAAGGTTTTTGACACTTGAGAGACACCATAGAAACTCTTTGGAAGCAGGGGGGTGGGGGTGGGGGGAGGACCAGGGAGGATGAGTCAACCACTCAACCACTAGATGTCGCTGAAAACAACAAATCATACACACTGTGCCTTTAAATCCTGTGGAAGCAACAAGGATGAAGCTAGTTTTTTTTGGCTTCCTTTCTAGTTTCATAAATAAAGACTCGGTGGAATCAGTTGTGCATTTTTGTTCACTTGAGGTCAGCTTTGAATCATTTTAAAACTTGATAAAACAAATATTTTATCTTTCTATGTAAAACCCTCAGACAGTTTATTATTTAGTTTTACTGACTGACGTATAAAGACCTGTTTTCTTTCTGTACCTTTTAAATCTCGGCCTCTCTGGACCAGGTTGTGTCTTGGAGGATGAGGCCTACATTCCTACCTATTTGGAGGCCTTCCCTCCGTTGCCGGAGAAGGGGACTCCAGGGGAGAAGACGGGGGAGCCAGCTTCAGCCTGGGGGAGCAAGATCAGGCCCCTCAAAGCCTCTGTTATCACCCAGGTAGGTCGAGTCATTGCAGATTTAAACATGTCGGTGCTATAAAAAACCAAAAAAACACAACAAGAAAGCAAATCCATCGCATGAAATATACATTTCTTCCTCTCAGGTGTTCCACGTGCCCCTGGAGGAGCGCCGCTACAAGGACAACAGCCAGTTTGGCGAGGGGGAGGAGGCCAAAGTGTGCCTGGACATCATGCAGCGAACCGGAGCGCACATCGAGCTGTCCCTGGCCAAGGACCAGGGCCTGTCCATCATGGTTACTGGGAAACTGGACTCGGTTATGAAGGCTCGCAAGGAAATCGTAGCTCGCCTGCAGACACAGGTGATGTAACTAATCCTCAGCTTGTATACATATTCAACAATGTCAGGCTCTGGAACTCTGGGGTCAAAGAAGAAAAAGATTCAATTATTAAAGGTGGTCTTGCAAACATAATACATGTGTAGTAAATATCTGCACCAGGAGTGTCAAACACTTCTATTCATGTTTTCACTAAAATCTAAATATTTTAGCTCACACTGGCACCTTTTGCGTATTACCCTGAGTTTTGTCTGTTGATTTCCACACTGTTGATTTATATCTAACAGGAAAGGGAATTTAAATTTTTCTGTTTTGTCTACTGCTTTGCTTAGAAGGCGGCAGCAGCGAAAACGGAAATGGTGACACAGACGTGACTTTCAAAATAAAGGCGTATCTTTCAGATGACGATGTGGATCAATGTTCAACCCTGAAACTCACAAACACAGACTTTCTTTTCATTTAGCGTGATGCTCTGTGTGAAACAAGCAGCATCTCAGTTTCTAAAACGGCTCTCAGAAATACTCAGAAAGAATAAAAAAAAAAGAAAAGAAAAACTCTGTGCATGGAGGTCAGCGGAGGACAAAAAGTAGAGCTGAAAATTGACTGTCAGCTCCCAGGGGCGGCCACTTCAAGGCCTCTGTAGCAAATATGCTGATCTCCACTTCAGCTGTTCAGCTGGGCTGCAGTTCTTCAAATAACATTGCAGAAAAACTTTTGCCTTCTTTGAACAGATTGATGCTTTTGTTTTTTGAGACTTCACTTGTTTATTGATAACATTTTTATGAAACCATTAAGTAAAAAAATGTAGATATTGACCAATTAGAGAAAAGTGTTCTTTCTAACCCTCTTGTAGTGATTTTGGGAGCTACTAGTGTTCTTTCTCTATCAAGTTTGATAAAAGAACGTTTGGTTTTAGGATGGTGATAGCAGAACAATTGATTTTACAAATGTGGAAACTGGATTCTGTGCCTTTATTTGCTTTGAGGATGGCAGAAATGTATAATATGTGGCATCTGGATAGAGCAGCTGGATTTGAAGACGGAGATGCTCTTCAGAAATACCTTAAAGGCTAAAACTAGCAACCTTTAGCAACCCTGTGAACCTCATTCTGTGCCCTGATACTGTCAAATCCTTCCATTATTATTATTATTATTATTATTATTATTATTATTATTATTATTATTATTATTATTATTATTATTATTAGATAGATCTGTGAAAAACATTTAATCTTTTTAAATTAGATTGATGTGTTAGGTTTGGTTTGTTAAATATTTTGGATTTGTTTTTTAATGCTTTGGTTTGTAACTTAAAAAAATCTAATAAAAATATTAAGAATTATATATAATTAATGTTAATTGTTAGCATTACAGTATGAAGAGGCCCGTAGAGATATTTTTTATTCTCTCTTCAGTGTTGGACTGGTTTTCCATAAGTTGGCAGAAGTGATCTAAAACACCATGGTATGACCGGGCCTTTACTTCTGTTTCCCCCATTTCATGACGCAAACGTTGTTCCTTCTTCCCCAGGCATCTGCCACGGTCGCCATCCCCAAAGAGCACCACCGTTTTGTCATCGGCAAGAACGGTGAGAAGCTGCAGGAGCTGGAGCTGAAGACCGCCACCAAGATCGCTATTCCACGACCCGACGACCCCAGCGCCAACATCCGCATCACCGGCACCAAGGAGGGCATCGAGAAGGCTCGCCACGAAATCCTCCTGATCTCAGCTGAGCAGGTCAGTCAGGACTGGATTCATAAAACTAGGTCCTCTTTCTGGTTTTTGTAAAATATCTTGCTTTGTTTTGAAGTTTATTTAGAGTTTGAAAACACTCTGTTATCTTTCGGCACGTTATTTCAAACACAAACTTCCCTTGTGTCTGCTATGAAAGGTGATGGGTGATCTTTAACTAACCCACCACAACCTCATCATTACGTCTAATTAAGACTTTTTCTGTTGTTTGAACCCCTCTGACTCCCTCGTTACCCTCCTCCTCCTCTTCGTCAGGACAAGCGTGCGGTGGAGCGCCACTCCCTGGAGAAGGCCTTCCACCCCTTCATTGCCGGAGCCCACAACCGGCTGGTGCAGGAGCTGAGCCAGGAGACGGGCGCTCGCATCAGCATCCCCCCGCCCAGCCTGCCGAAGGACGAGATYGTCATCACCGGGGAGAAGGAGGCCGTCGCTCTGGCCGTCAGCCGCATCCGAGCCATCTACGAAGACAAGGTGAGCGACAACAGGAGGGTTTCTCTCTGTTCTGTGGCTCTTAAATGTATTTCTGCTCCACGTTTTTGGTTTAAAACAGACAAATTCATTAAAATGTTGGGAATAAAATAAAGTTTTCTTGATCTTTTTATTTATTCAGAAGAAGCACCTGGTGGCACTTAAGAACTGTGGGGTTTGTTTATCTCACTTTTCACTTGTTTACGCCATCACGGGAACACTTACAGCTCCTCTAGAAAACGAATGTGTTTGTTTGGTTTTATTGTTGTTTTCAGTTGTGGTTTTATTTTCTACTACGCAYCAAATCTCATTATCTGATGAGATTGAAAGGAAGGCATCAGACGGATGGTTCCAACGTGGAGAGGAAGTGTGTGTGTGCGCTCAAGGAGCTCCTTTGATTGGCAAGACGGAGAGGATGCCGAGAGAAAATTGGATTTCAGAGAAGAACAACAGGATGAGAATATTAATGTTGTTTAGTGCATAAATATGAGAGGCAAAAATAAATACATCTTCCTGAACCGTCACCTCTCGTCTCCACATCTCCTCTGTCACGCAGCCTGTTAATTCAAGCCAACTCCTTCTAGACTTCCATCTTTCATCTCTTTCTGTTTGGTCTTTCCCCACGTTTCGTCATCGGTTCTGGTCTTGTTTCCACAGAAGAGGAAGACCACGACCATCTCGGTGGAGGTGAAGAAGTCTCAGCACAAGTACATCATCGGTCCGAAGGGAAACACCCTGCAGGAGATCCTGGAGGCCACCGGGGTGTCAGTTGAGATGCCGCCGCTGGACTCGGCCTCAGAGACCATCATCCTGAGGGGGGAGCCTGACAAACTGGGGCCTGCACTCACTCAGGTCTACGCCAAGGTGAGGCGGACATGATGGGTTGGGTGGTATTGATCTTTTTCATACCAACGTGTTATCTTTAGGTGATACTGCAGTAGAGGGTATTACCAAAGTCAGGGTGATGTCATCCGTCACGTKATTTCAACCTCCATTTTCTGTGAGGGAAAGCAGCGTGGTTCAGATAAACTGTTAGCAAGTAGTGTAGAATATGTTGTATGCATCGCCGTTTTGAAGCAGGCTTTGTGCTCAGTCTGATACTGAAAGTGAATGAACCAGACTTTAATGAGTTTAGATATTATCCCATTGAGTTATTAAAGAAACTTCTCAGATTTGTATATGTGTGTGTGTTGAACTGTGATAACATTGGGTGTGTGTCCAGGCTAAGAGTGTGATGGTGGTGGAGGTCAGCGCTCCAGCTTGGCTGCATCGCTTCATCATCGGCAAGAAAGGGCAGAACATCGGGCGGATCACGCAGCAGCTGCCCCGGGTAAGGCGACTGGAAATTTTGGATTAACGGGGTGTTACATGATCAATAAAGCATCATCATCATATCGTGTCACCAGAAAGACGACCATATTTTTGCTCTGTCTTCGACTTGAAACAGGTCTTCAGATGTTCGATGTACTGGATTAAAAGATGCTCTGGATATGGTGAACACATTCACGTTCCTAGCTAACCCGGTTTTATAAAGTTGGTTTTGGTCTTTCCGACACCGGTTCATGTCTGATTCAGTGCACACATTCGTTTCTCTATAGTCTTAATACCTTTAGCCAATTCTTCCCAGGGTTTCGGGGTGGTTGGGTGCACTATGGTTGGTTGTTCCAGATCTTTCCATTGGTTTATTCTGTGTTTCCTGAGTGTTTGTGTWTACTGGTCTTCAATAAAGCAGAACTTGGTGGACTAGAAGCTGGACTCCGGCAGAGATGTTTTGAACAAAWGTTTGGAGAAGAGCTTCTTTAACCGAGTTGTCTTGCTTCATTTTTTTAGGTTCACATTGAGTTCACAGACGGTGAGGAACGCATCAGTCTGGAAGGGCCAACAGAGGAGGTGGAGCAGGCTCAAGCCCAGATACAAGAGATCATCCAGGACCTGGTCAGTGGACACACACACGTTGGTTTTTCTGTCCTCATGGGACTTTACGTTGACTTCTATTCGTTTTACCCTAAACCTAACCACACTAACTCCAAACCTAGCCTAAACTCAATCCATACCTTAGTCCTAGACCTAATCCCCCCTCCAAAAATMATCATCTGCACCCATGGGGACCAGGCTTTGGTCCACATAAGGATCAGATCCCCACAAGGCTACGTTTGTCTGGAAAATAGCTACCATGATGCAGAAGCAAATACACGTACACGTACACACACACACACACACACACACACACACACACACACACACACACACACAC